TTTAAGTCAATACAACATATAAACACTTTAACTGTCTGCCTTTCAACGTGCTACCTCAACTACTAATGTACAGTTTTAGCCCACTAACTATCCCACTATTGGCAATGGTACTACTGTACTTTCAATAAAGCAATCGTGCTATCAAATTCACAAAACCTGTCTGAATACATTGCTCTTCTTAATGGGTTCAGTTGACTATTTAATCTGCAATTTCCTATGACCTGTATCCCAAACACACACCATGTGAAACTGTACGTGGGCAACTGTGCACTCAATGGGTATTAATGAATCAGGAATGAGTTCAGTCTGAAGACAGATTTGTTTTGGTTACATTTGTAATGGCAATAATGTTTAAACTTATTTGTGCGTCTACAGCCTTTTAGCATACTTTAAGGCATTAGCAATCCAATCCAATCCAACTTTATTTGTAAAGCACTTTAAAACAACTACAGAGTACCAAAGTGCTGTACAGAAGAATAAATAAAAGACAAAACAGCTTGCATAAGGCATAAAATACAAGTAAAATAAACAAACATTTGTAAAAAAAAAAAAAAAATAGCAGCTATACAATAAAAACAAACAATAAAGCAAAATAAAATCAACATCTTACAGGGTGTCAAAGGCCAGGGAGAAGAGATGGGTTTTAAGAAGAGATTTAAAAATAGACAGAGAAGACGCCTGTCTAATGGCAGATTGTTCCACATTTTAGGAGCTGCCACAGTGAAAGCACGGTCCCCTCTGAGCTTGCACTTAGTTTCTGGCACAGTCAGGAGCAGCTGATCAGCTGACCTGAGTGAGCGGGTAGGTGAATAGGTATGCAGCAGCTCAGAGAGGTAGGGCGGGGCAAGACCATTGAGGGATTTAAAAGCAAATAAAAGAATTTTAAAATGAATCCTAAAGTATATGGGCAGCCAGTGGAGCAGTGTGAACATTGTATGAACTGAGGTGATTACATAATATCTGACAGAAGGACAGCCTTATTATTCCAGAGGAGCCTTTCGTTTGTCAATCACGAGGATCACTGTGTAAAAAATGACACCACGCTCTGACAGGCTGATTGTTACCAATACTCATCATCATCCAAATGTTCATTGAATATACGAAAACCTTCATTTTATTGATTTAACATCTCAGTCATAATACAGTCACAGGTATGTGCAATGCATTTCTAATTTTGCCAGATTTCATGCTTGACTGATGCTCCAGGATTTAAAGGCACTTCACTTGACCCTCTGTGCAATTTGTACATTGGTGAGTTATTACGTAGCCTACATGTTTCAAATTGATACACTCAGATCATTTGGAGTACAGGAGCCGTCTTTAAGATGTTTCTGAACTTTATCAAACATCTAAACACTTTAAAAACAAGTCTTCAAAGCTCATTTTCTGGATGACCCAAATAAATTCTGTGATGTCGGCAGGATTATTTGGAGCAGTTCTCACTTCATGAATCATGTAAGCAGACAGACTACACACAGTATTTACAGTAGAGGCAGTATTGAGCACAGCATGTTAATTTAAAGAGATGCAACATACAGAATGCAACAACTTTATCAATTCATTTCAAAAAGACACATTTTTGTACTACAAATTGTAGCCCACAGACATAACTGTGCATTACAAAATGCGCTCACTGCACACACTGACAGGAGTTTCTGTCTCCTGAAACAGAAATTCAGATCTGCTCTGTGAAACATATTTGAGATGCTGTATAGTAAATGTGGGATGCTTTATCTTTCTATCTTTGGTCCTTATGACCTGCACTTGAACCTCACACTAGCATTTACTTTGGTGGCATTTATAGTTTGACTTGACATTACTCTGTAGTCCACTCTACTCCACAATATTTTTCTCCTCAGAGGTTCACATTACAGGGGCTTTGAAGTGGTAAGAAATTATGAATGGCTGGTTGAAATAAAGGTTATAAAATATAATATGGTGCAATTTCAGCATCACTAATTTCCAACGTATGCTAGTCATGGTTGAAACAAAACCATCATGTTAATGAGTTTCTTGAGTCCCTCGCTGGTGTGAGCATGTGAGCACACACTTTCTCTTTCACTCTTTGCTCTCTGGAAATCCCCTCTAATTTTGGTACAGTCTAGAATTCAGTTGACGCAGATAAGTAACAGAGTAAATAACACTTTACAGAAGACCAAGCAGCTGAACCAGCTCTATTAAGACAAGATGAAAAAGTTATTTTTGATGCTTTTTCTCTGTCAGTTTTCATTTGCAGGTAAGATCATATTTGAAATCTTTAACTTTCCACTTGCTCTGCATTTTGCTCCTGTGTAGCTCAAGGACATGAGGGATTTTTTTTTTCACCTCAACTCCATAAGATTGTATGTTTTAACTGAATCCTACTTACATATGATGTGCGTGTTGACAATGTGTGTATAGCCTATTTATAATGTGTGTATAAACCTTGTTTGTCCTGCAGTGAAACACACCCTGAGGTATGCCTTAACTGCAAATTCTGGAGTGCAAGACTTCAACTTTGTCGGTGTTACAGTGGTTGATGGCATTGTGGCGGGTTACTGCGACAGTGTCAACAAGATAGTGGAACCAAAACAGGACTGGATGAGAAATTTCATTGAAGATGATCCTCAGCACTTGGAGTGGTACATGCTAAGATGTTTTGAGTATGCTCCCGACTTCTACAAAGCCACGATTTACAGTTTGAAACAGCGCTTCAACCAAAGTGGAGGTAAAATATTTGCTGTTCTGTTTTTCACTGGTTAGGACTGTTTGGAAATTATATTGTTATTTGTATTGTTTATTGTATTGTACTTTTTTCATACTTTCTTTGTTTTTGTTTTTTATCTATGGACCAATCTTGTGTCCGAAATAAAGGTATGCATATAT